GAAGAAATGGATTAAAATCTTAAATATAAGACCTGAAACTTTAAAATTCCTAAAAGAAATTATAGGGGAAATACTTCTGGAAGTAGGACTGGGGACAGACTTTATTAATATGAACCCCACAGCATAGGCAACAAAAGAAAAAATATAAATTATATCAAATTGAAAAGCTGCTGCACAGCACAAGAAACAACAGAGGAAAAGAGCAACCTACAGAATGGGGGAAATTATTTGTAAACTATGCATCTGATAAAGGATTAATATCCAGAATATACAAGTAACTTAAACAACTTAAAAGTAGAATAACAAATAGTCTGATTTTTAAAATGGGCAAAGGAGCTGAATAGGCATTTCCAAAAGGAAGATATACAAATGGCCAACATATACAGGAGAAAATGCTCAACATCACTCAGTATCCAGGAAGTGTAAATCAAAGTCACATTGAAATATCGTATCATTCCAGTTAGACTGGCTACTGTCAAAAAGGCAGAGAATAACAAATGCTTGTGAGAATGCAGAGAAAGAGGAACCCTCTTATACTGTTGGTGGGACTGTAAATTGGTGCAGCCATTATCGAAAACCGTGTGAAGGTTCCTCAAGCAACTACAGATAGAACTGCCATATGAACAGCAATCCCACTGCTGGGTATACATTCAAAGGATTGGAAATAGTCATGCAGAAGGGACACCTGTACTCCCATGTTTATTGCAGCTCTATTTACAGTAGGCAAGACTTGTAATCAACCTGAATGGCCATTATCAGATGACTGGATAAGGAAAATGTGTTATATTTATACAATGGAATACTACTCTGTCTAAAAAGCATGAGATATTGCCATTCACAGCAACATGGATGAACTTATGAAAAATTATGTTAAGTAAAATAAGCCAGGTACAGAAAGAAAAATTTTGCATGTTCTCACTTATATATTACAGCTAAGAAAATAAATAACTTAAAAATTAAATAAAAGAAATATACAACAATCACAATATTGCTTTGAACTTCAAGAGTAGAAAACAGAACTGAGGTTACTAGAGTGAGGAAATGCTCAGGGGGATGGTGGAAGGGAGGTATTTGTAAAGGTTCACAAAAATCTATTACACTGTATATTGAAGAATATACTAATTATCCTAATTTGAACTTCACATATTGCACATATGATATCCAATTCTTTACCTCAAAGATATGTACAATCAACTGTGTTGCAATGAAAAAAACAATTTAAAAAAAGCTTTGTATTGAACCTTCATTTATTTCTTTAGTTCTCTTTCTGTATATCGATTCTAACCTATATCTTTTTTATTCTTTTTTTTTTCTTTTTGTTCACATTGCTTCGAATACAGGTGTAGTGGCAACAAATTCTCTCAATTTTTGTTTCCCTGAGAAAATCTTTATTTTTTTTCTTTTTTACACGTTGATTTCATAGTGGACAGGACTGTGTGTGGTAGGGTATGTTAATCAACTGTTCGGATATTTTACTGTACTCTCTCCTTACTTACATGGATTCTCAGGAGATGTTGGGTGTAATTCTTACCTTGTTTCTTTTTAGGTAAGATATTTTTTCCTCCCTCTGGCTTCAGATTTTTTATTATTTTTGATTTTCTGAAGTTTGAGAACTACATGCCTAGATGTAGATTTTTAGCATTTATCTGGTTCTGTGTTATCTTAACTTCTTTGATCTTTGGTTTGGTGCCTGATATTAATATGTGGAAGTTCTCAAACATTATTCTTTTAAGTGTTTCTTCTGTTTTTTTCCTCCATCTCTCTTCTACTGGCTTTCTCATTACTTTTTTTTTTTTTTTTTTTTTTTTGGTTTTTTT